GAAGGTGTCTGCCCTCGCGTTTTAATGAAGGAACGGGTTATTCTACCCACGGTCAAGACTCGAAAGACCTTATTCCATTAACTAAAATTCCACTCCCTTGCTTGGAAACCAGCGGAGGACGTAATGATCTGTCCCATTAAAAGTAAATGGTTTTTTTTTTTTATACTGAGGTTCAAGAAACATTCTTCAAAATGAGGCGACTGGTTCAGAAATCACTACTCGTTGATTAAATAAGGACCAAGGGGCTCTCTGGGTCTAACCCGTCCGCAGCCCGGGTCCACACGGGGTAGATGGGCTCCCGCGGGCGGGCTGGGACAGCGCGTCGGTAGCTCGCTCCCCGCGAGTTCCCGATCCCTGCAGACTTGCACGCCAGGAGCAATTCCAGGTGACATCGCCCGTTTCCCTCACAGAGAGCCGGTTGGTCTTTCCCAGTTGCCATGGGAACGTAGAACCTGCTAGTTGATGAAATCCTGTTTTCCGAGGTGCAACAGAACGAGCCGAGCAGGTAACGGGTCAGGCCGCGCTCCCTGCTCCGCCGTGCCTCTCCGGGGGAGGAAGGGGTGGCACCAGCCCGGGGTCAGCACGGGCGCTTCACGAGCCTGGGTGTTGTTTTGGGGGAAAGGAGGATTTCTCTCTGTAGTGCCCCTCCGTCTGTCCTGCTGAAATTAGTGCTGGTTGGTACGTAGGCGGCTGCTGTCTGGGGGTCTGGAGGCTGCTACGGGTGCTGTTTGGCTGGCTGTACACTGGGCAGGCAGGGATGCCATTTCAAGTCTTTGCTGTTATCATGCAAGGGGTGAGAGGTATTATTGATCTACCCAGCTGGGTAGAGCACCCGGAGGCTTTCCACTACTAGCGTAGCGCCCAGCTGAAAGACAGGAAGGCCCAATAGTTGCCTGATAGCATCATGTAGCCATGGAGCAATTTCCAAATCGCTCAAGTGAGATGTTAAACAGTGTCTCTTCTGCGGTGCAGTTTTTGTGGACCTGTGTTGTTTTAGTCTGCTCTGAGGCTGCTCTTACTGGGTACCAGCCATAAAGTGTGTGTGGGGGGGGGGCATTGCTGTTTCTATGCGCTCGAGCCAAGCCTGGGAAAAAATGTACCTGGAAGATGTAGCAATGCTGGAAGGGCAGCAGCAACGAGGTCTGAGTCTTGTACCAGTTTACCAAAAATGGTTGGGCAGAACTGAGTCTTCAGAAACAGGCGGTTATAAACATCCGCTGTGAGAAGAGGCTCACTTCTCCCTGCCAGCTCCCAGCACCCAGGGCAGTGGGTGTCAGTCTTTGCACACTCATGGTGCCCTTTTCATTCAAGAACATTTGCATTGATAGGGCACGACCTTAAACTGGGGTAAACAGAATGAAATTGTGCAGATTTATACCAAAGCAGGATCTGGTTCATACACTTCTTAGGCTCAAGCCACCCTTTGTTAGATTCAAGGCACGCCTCAGGAAATGCCAGCTCTCAGTTTTCACTCATTTTCTGACGATGGAAAAATAATATTCAGAGTGACCTAGACAAATTGGAGGACTGGGCCAAAAGGAATCTCATGAGGTTCATTAAGGACAAGTGCAAAGTCCTGCACTTAGGACAGAGCAATCCCATGCACCGGTGCAGGCTGGGGGTGACTGGCTGGGCAGCAGCTCTGCAGAAAAGGACCTGGGGGTGATAGTGGACAATCAGCTGAAAATGAGTGAGCAGTGTGCCCTTGCTGCCAAGAAGGTTAACGACATACTGGGCTGCATTGATAGAAGAGTTGCCATCAGGTCAAGGGGAGTGATGATTTCCCTTTATTCAGCATGGATGAGGCCACATCTGGAGTACTGTGTTCAGTTTTGGGTCCCCCACTACAGAGAGGATGTGGACAAATTGGAGAGAGTCCAGTGGAGGGCGACAAAAATGGTGAGGGGGCTGGGGTGTGTGACCTATGAGAGGGAACTGGGCTTATTTAGTCTGGAGAAGAGAAGACTGAGGGGGATTGAATAGCAGGCTGCAAGGGGGGATTCAAAAGAGGGTGGAGGTAGCCTGTTCTCAGTGGTGGCAGATGGCAGAACAAGGAGCAATGGGCTCAAGTTGCAGCAAGGGAAGTTTAGGTTAGATATTAGGGCAAATTTTCTCACAAGGAGGGTAGTGAAATACTGGAACAGGTTACCCAGAGAGGTGGTGGAGTCTCCATCCTTGGACATTTTTAGGACCCAGCTAGACAAAGCCTTGACTGGGATGATCTAGTTGGGGCTGGTCCTGCTTCGAGCTGGGGGTTGGACTAGATGTGACCTCCTGAGGTCCTTCCAACCCTCATTTTCTATGATTGTATGGTTCTATAATACAGGCGACCCTCACCATTCGCGAGGGATACGTTCTCGTATCCCTTGTGAATGGCAAAATCCACAACTAAGGCACTGCGTTTGTGAACACAGTGCCCCCGGTGGCTGGGAGGGGAGGCACAGCTCCGGTGGCTCCGACAGGAGTGCGGTGGTGACGGTGGGAGTGCAGCAGCGGTGGTGGGAGCCCAACAGCAGCGGTGGTGGGAGCCCAACAGCAGCAAACCTGGAGCTCTTTTTCAAATACATAAAAAAGTGTATTTAAAATGCAGGTTCAGCATTTGCAAATATTGGAAACCACGAATGCTGAACCCGTGAATAACGAGGGTTTCCTGTACAGCATTTTTCTTGTTGCTCAGTACTCAGAAAGACCACAACAGGGCAGTTTTTCAACACTGTGGGTTGTTATGTGAAACTGTTGGGTTCATCTTTTGACTCAAGTCTGCACACCTAACATGGCTGACATTGTGTGTACAGCACCCCTGAAAGGAGCCCAAGCCACCCCAGGGGACCATGGCACCCTGGTTGAGTGTCATCACCCTAGGGAAACTTTTTGGTTTCTGGCCATTAGGACTTCCTGGTAGCCTAGTTGTGAGAAGCACTGCCACCGACCAGGAAGAGGTAAGTTGCCAAGAAGAGCAATGGGCCAAATCCTAAAAACACAGTCGTTTCAGGCACTGGAGGCCACATGTTCATTTGAGCAGAATATGGGGCCTTTCAGCCAAAACCCGTGAGGGTCCACAGGCAAGAAATATGTTCAACACTTGCAGGATGGTTTGGCAAGCTTCCAGCATGAATTATAGCCAGCCTGGTCACTGCTGAAGGAAAGAAGGATGTGCTAGGAGCACAGAGCACGTTCTGCAAGGAATCAATTTTGTTTCACGTCTGTACAAGCCAGGGCTGCATGCCGGTTCCCGACTGCCCACTCCACTCAAATCTTGGATTAAAAGTGAGTCTGGGGATGGCTTTAGTCAGGGCTGCCCTGCATTATGCTGTCTTTGGATTGTAGCCTGCAATGTATGGATCTGGTGTTACTTGTTCAGGAGCTATCAGTGTCCAGGATAAATAGAGGCAACTAACTCCAGATGACACCTCCTTTTTTTACTGACTTTCCAAGGAAAGCATCCTGTGTTAATGAATTAAGATGGACTGGAAACTCTTGTTATAATCTGGGCACTATTATTTTAGGTTGAGAGGCAAAGTTTTGCGCAAAGTTTCCTGAGGTATTTAAGCCAATGTCTGGCAAAACTAAGAAGCTGCAGATAAAATTGGGCAAAGATGGCCCATTTCACCTGAAGAGAAGCAGAAAACCAAAGCAAAGGAAACCAAGCAAATGGGTTTACCTCCTTCACACCCCAGACTTTCAGCACATGGGAAGTTTCCTAAATCAAGTGGATCAAACAGGGCGACTGGGGAATATAAAGTAACCATAAATCTACATCTGCAGGCAGTTTGGATCCTCAGTGCTCAAACTATGTAAGCTGATAGGAAGGCAATGCTGGCTGTGATGCATCTCAGGCTGGTGCATCACCTGTCCTCCTGAAAGCTTCAAAACATGCTGGCTGTGAATAAGCAAAAAGGTCCATTTGTCAATAGTCATCTCCCGTAGACAGTGGCTGAAGCCACAATGCTGTCAAGTTATCAGGCTGAGATTGCACCTTTGATGCAGGCCTGGCAACATCAGTGTGGAAAGAGTTTTCCTGGGAGCAAGCTAGTGCACT